GGTTCAGATAGGAATTAGAGAACAATTCTGAAAGTATTAAAAAAAAGACCTTTCCCTTTTCCCCCTTTCTCCTTCTTTTTTTCCGCTTTCATTTCTTGACGGATATCAAGCGCTCTGCTTATTTCCTAATTAATTATCAACTTCTCCTCTTTTCCCTCTTGATATTTCTTTTATTTCTAGCTTTATTTTCATTCAAACCTCTTTTGTAAGATTATTAAATTTATTATTTTTTTTAATCTCTCTCATAATCTCCACCTGAATCAGTATCTTTTTTTTTCTTTTTCTTTTTTTTTTTTTTTTTGGTGTGCCGTTTTAAGATCTGCGAGCACTTGAAGCACCAATTTTCCTGTAACTATGAACATCCTGTTAAGGTGCTGCTCAGTAATAAAGTACTTGAAAGAAAGAGTGCGGAATTCAATTACAAGTAATTTATTTTTATAGAAACAGTACATCAAGGCCTTGGAAAGATATTACAGAGCCCAAGTAAGAAGATCTGGGAAGATGACATAAGAGTTGATGTCCCCTTCAGCAAAAGTTTAATCTTTTCATTAATTTATATGGTGTGGTTAGATCAATCTTCCAGGAGAAAGTAGGCCAGCAGCACTCTGAACCCCTGCAATATCCCCTGCGAGCCGCCCTTCCTAAGGCATGTGCCCGGCACCATCCCTCGCCCAGCTCCGTTTATACTGAGAGAGGCAAGAGCTGAGGGGAGAGAAGAGCCTTCAAAAAAAAAAAAAAAAAAAAAAAAAAAAACCCAAAACCCCCAAAAAACCAAAACAAGAAAGAAAACGACCTAGCTACTCTATTTATTTCGGGAGGTGCCTCCAGGAGGCAGTTGTTTAAAGCGAGACAGCCGCTTACTCAGGCAAAGGCTCGCTGAGCGGGTGCCTTCCGTGGTGGGTCACGTCTAAGGAGGGGGACGAGGCGACCCCTCTCCCCGCTCTAGCTCGGGGCTGTATTTCTTGTCTTCCCGCTGTGCCCTGGGATGGGGGTAGGCACGGAGACGTCCACCTATGCCCTCGCAGCCACACCCGCACCTAGGTGTACCCACGCGCACGCACGTATAGACAGATGTACATATGCGTGCGCATCTCTTGTCTCCAGGGCGTGAAGGCGTTTTGCTCGGTCGGGGGGGTGGCTTGGTGAGTTTTTCTTCGTGGGTTTTGGTTTGGTTTGGGTCTGTTAGGCCAAGCACAGACTTATAACCTAAAAAAGGATTTCCTTCAGGTTTCTCCTGCTCTGGGCCTGCTCAGAGCCACAGGTTGATCTTATTAATTATTTCTAGGGTTTTCTTTTTGAACGCGACATCTGTTTTGGGGATGCATTCCCTAGTTGGCTTAAGGGGTGGGGGATATTTTTCCCCTGCATGAAACTGAAAATCGAATTTGAAAATAATCCATGTGGAGCCACCCAAACAGACGGCTCCGATGGCCCCAGAACTACAGCAACCCGGACCTATTTTCAAGGTTTCGAAGGCTAATTGGTATTTAGCTGTATCTGAAGCGGGATGGGAGGGACGGGGGGAGACTCCACCAGATGGGGTGCCATGCATTCATACGCTTGCTGCGCGAATCAGAGGGGGCACCTTTCCCCCGGCTCCGGCTAATCCCGTCCCTCAGCACCCAAACCGTCTAGGCTTATTCACGGCGATTGTTTTCTGTTGTTTTTTTTTTTTTTTTCCATAACGGCCCCATAAAAGGAGGAGGGGGAAGAAAGTGAGGATTAAGGGAGAGTTAATGGCACGTTTGCAAGGAAAAATACAATAATTCAATAAAAAATAGCTAGATGCTCAGTTATTAGAGACTTGTCACCACTATCACCACCACCACCACCCCCCCAAACAAAATAAAATAAATTTAACGGCCTTCCTCGGAAATGCAAGGCACGGGCAGACACTCCCAGAGCAGAATTACGGTTTGGCAGGACAGGTACAGCGGAGTTGCAAACAGCTTCCCCATCACACGTGTCGTCTCTGCCTTCACCTCCCCGCTTTGGTTGGAACGGGGCACTGTGCTAGGATCCGCTGGCAGTTAGGAAGTGAGGAGAGGACGTTTCCAGGAACAGAGCCTTTCTCTTACCTGAACCCTAGCTTCAGACAGTCCCAGCCTCTGGCTTAGTTCCTCCCTCATGAAGGCATCCGGATAGTGAGTCTCATCAAAAAGTCTTTCCAGCTCATTCAGCTGCTCTAGTGTGAAATTGGTTCTGCTTCTCCTTTGTTTGAGCTTGGTCTGTCCATCTTCATCTTCTGACTTCACATCTTCCCTCTTCTCTTTGCACTCGTAGATCCCTGCCGGGAGGGGGAAGGGGAAAACGACACTGAGCCTTCCCTCGCACCTCTCCGAAGTTTCTCTCCGCAGCACACGGGGGTCACCCCCCTCCCCTCTCTTCGTCCCCAAACTCAGCGCAACCTGCGGGGGCAACCGGCGGGCGGGAGAGGCGTCCCCGGGC